CGGCGGCGGCGCCTCCACCACCCTCAGCTCATGCGGTTTTATGTTCCACGTGCCGTTGGGGAACTTGACACGGACACGCCCAGCATCTTTGAGGAACTCGAGCACGACGCCCTCGTGGCCGGCCGGGATGTCGTCATCAGCCGCTGTCCACGTCACCCGGCAGTTCACTCTCAGGGCCGCTGCAGGCGCCGGTGCGACGTGCCTCGGTGGTGCGGGCCGGGCGGCGTCCGTTCCGGTGGAGGCAGGATCCCTCGCGCTCTCGAACGGTTCGGTGCGGAGCCTCAAGGGCCCTGTCGAGGTCTCGAGCACGGACCTTGCCAGGTCGCTGCAGGCCAGCTCGGCGGCACTCGGCGATTCAAAGGTGATGACGCAACTGTTGATTGGATAGCGCTTCATCTTCACGCTGAGCACGGGGCCGCACTGCCCGAAGTGTTCCATCAGAGCCTCCTCGGTCGTGCTGCGAATGTCGTGCGAGCCGCGCACGAATACTCTCGCCGGCATAACCGGGAACAGTTCGGCCGTGCGCGTACGATGCTGCGGCGCCCTCTACACGCCTGCTATTCACGTAAACGCACAACCCCGGGCCCCGAAATCGCACAGTGATGATTCACAGCACAAGCCCTCGCCGAGGGCTCGAGCATGCGCAGCGAAAAGCAGACGGATCCCCCCCTGTGAAAAAGTGAGGCGTGGTCTCTACTCGCCAGGCGGGCGCCCCGGCGGCAGCCGCAAAGAAGAGAGAAAGCGGATACGAAACTCGACAACGGGAGAACCGTCAGATTTTCAGGTGTACTGTAACCTGAAGTCCGTCGCGATGCACTCAATCCCTCCCGAGCGAAAGCCTGTGGCTCCCTCGAACTCGTCGATATATTGCGGATAAACTGCTCTTCCCGCATAGCTTGCAGAGTCAGAGGCGCAGAAAGGCTGCGAGTGCTCGACGAGTCTTGCGAGCTGCGCGGTCAAACCTGGGGGGAACTGACCGCATCAAGGCGGACTTCCGAAACCTGGGTGAGCACCTCTGGCAGTTCTCGCTCCCCATCGAGCTAAGTTCTCTTGCCGCAAAACACCGATGGCCGTCCGCTGGCGTGAGCGGCGGCGGTCGAGACCTCGCCCTTCGCGCCGACGACCCAACTCACGCGCATCAACCCAACCGGGCCCAACCCGACCCAACCCAACAACCCAACCCAAAAAGCACGATTCTGAAGTTGGGCCCTCAGAGAGAGGGAGAGAAGTTTGTTTGTTTGCCCTCAGTGCTGCCGCCACGCTGCCGGCCACTCCCGCGCGCACGCCGCTCGCGCCCTCCTCCTGACCACCGCTCTCTGCGCACGCCTGGCAAAGAAGAAGAGTTGGCCGCGCGGAATTATTCGTTCTCATATGAGAAAGAAAGAAAGAAAGAAAACAGACAACCCAAGGGAGGGATGGGAGGACGGCACGCCGCCACCACACAGGGATTTTAAGGAGAGGTGTGTGGTGCGCTATCCGTCGCCCACCCTAGGGAGTCTGCCTCTTCCTATCTCTCTTCGCAGTCTCTCATATGAGATATTTCTTTTATGACCGCATGATTTCTTACTTATTTGCGGCACTCCTCGCCGGCCTCATCCATCGCGGCAACTAGCCGTGCCTCCATCGCGGCAACTAGGCGCTCCAGCATCGATGCGGATCAGCTGCCTCGTCGTGCTCGCCGCAGTCTCGCCCGCCTGCCCGATGCTGCTGCGGCCGGCACCACTGCTGCGACCGGTGGTGCCGCCGCTGCGGTCGTCGCCACCGCAGGCTGCGGAGCCAAAGCTCGGCATCGGGATCGAGGCGCGGCAGCGTCTCCTGCTGCTCGTGCAGGACCTCGCCTCTCGAGGTGCCACGCAGGCGCAGATAGAGGGCGGCGTCTCGCAGGCGGTGGCCGCTGTGTTCGCGCCGCCGCCGCCAACGGCGGCGGCCGCCGCCGCGGTGGCCGGTGTCAGCGCTCCTGCTGCAGCCGGCTCGACGGCCACAGGCTCGACGGCCGCACAGCTGGTCGTGCCAGCGACGGCCAGCGACGCACACAAGGCGCTGCGCGCGTCCTTCGGCGGGCGGTACACGGTCGCTGTCTCGGCGGCGACGCAAAAGTTCCTCAACTTTATCGTCGAGGACCGCACCTGCGTCTTCCGCTGGAGGTACTCTCGCGTCTACGCCGTCGGCTTCCGCTCGCTCTGCGACGCGTTTCTGCGCGGCTCCTGCCGCACCGCCGCTGACGAGGCGGCGACCCGCGCGGCGCTCTGCGTGGGACTCGGGCTCGATCAGGCGGCGGTGTGGGCGGACGCTGCTTCGCTCTGCGAGGAGGCCGCCGGACTGGACAGGCAGCAGCTGCTGGCGACGGAGGAGTTTCGACAGATTGCGGCGGCGCAGGGCAGTCTCAAGTACACGTACACATTCGGCGTCGGCCTCGTGATGCTCATGCGCGCCGTCGGGGAGACGGAGTTGTCGCCTCCGCCACGCACCGTCACCTCGGGCATCACAGCGTGGTGCACCGCGCTGGACCTGCGCTTCGCGACCCGGCTTGCGTCCGACTACACGCGGCCGCTCTCGATCGATGGCATCGGCCGCTTCGACTTTTACTCAGAGTCCGGGCTGGAGGACGCTTCGCTGGTCAGCATCGGGCAGGAGGGGAGCTTCTGAAGGGGTAAGCGGGCGTTGAGCATCCACGCCGCACGCCCACGCGCACAATCCTGGCAAACCACACGCCCCGTGGTGGCGGTCTCTCTCCGCTCTCGCATCTCTTGTACTCGTCATACTCATTGAGTGTAGTTGTCTTTATCGACGTTCTGGTTCTGGTTTCTGGTTTCCGAATGCATGCCGCTTTTTTGCTGTTCCCACTTGAAAAAAATCGGATGGGGGACACCTGTTCATTGGCCGGAATGAGCTCATTAGGACGAAGCGGGAGATGTATTCACACCGCAGAAACCAGACCCACAGGCAGATCCCACGGGAAATCGAGGCGGGTGTCCCAGAAAACAGATCCCAGAAAAACCAGAGAGCGCCGCAGAAACCGACCGACCCCTGGGTTTTCGGCTATGGGAAACCGCCATGGGAAACCGCAGCAGAAACCCGATGGGAAACCGAGGTCTGGTGTCTGCTTTGACCTTTGTGCACGAATGAAAAGAGAACGCTCCAGAACCAGAAACCCCAGTGACGCCAGGTGGAAGCTCAAGCAGGAAGCACAGAACTCCACTCTCCAGCGAGCAGCGTCCAGCGAAGCTAAAAAGAGAGGGCCCCGCGGGCCGCGCGGCGCGCCCACTCATACCATTGCGAGCGTGGTGATTCCGCGAGGAGGCGGGGCCGCCATCGATCCCGCCTCGAGGGCCTCTGGGCTGAGGTTGGTCTCATCGTTGGGACGTTGTTGCTCGTGGGAGAGCGTGCTGGCGGCCAGTGGCATCGCATTCGGAAAGGGAGGCGCCTGGCGCATGCAGGACGGGCTGAGGGTGGGTGCGACAAGTGTACACGGGGTGAGGGGGGTGGTGCGGGGAGCGCACCTTGCAGAGCGGGCAGGTCATCGCCGTGCCACTCTCGGCGGCTCGAAGCAGCCAACAGCTGATGCACTCGCGATGGAAGGCGTGCGCTGCGGCGCCAAAAGGGCGAGGGAGGCGTCAGCGCGCTCACCGGACCTGGGCTGGTCGAGAGGGGGATGCGCACCGCACGGCAAGACTGCCATGTCCCCGCCCTTGCCAAAGGCCGTGAGGCAGATAGAACACTCCTCGGTCTCGTCTTCAGCCGTCGCCTCGCGCCCCGACAGTCCCCTGATCTGGGCTTGCATTGCCGCCCGGTACGCCAGGATTGCCTCTTGCGCTGCGATCGAGGCGGGTGCGGGCGCCGATCGGGGAGGGGTGGGGCGGGCAGTCGTGCTGGCTGAGGCAGAGGGGTGGCTCGCCCTCCGCTGCGTGGCGCCGATCGATGAGCTTGCAGTAAAAGACGAGGCCGACCATGACGATCGCTCTCATGAGCACAAACCTGACACCGTGGCAGGCGCGCCTCAGTCTCCCTCGCCCTGGAGAGAGGCGCGCAAACAAGTGCGGTGCGGGCAGGGGCGGGCGTCGGAACCAGATGAGCGAGTAGCTCGAGGGCTTCATATCATCAACGCCCTCCTCCGAGGCCGACGGCGCGCCGGCGACCTGGGTGTGACTTGATGTCATGGGTCCTGGGCGGGAAGGAGAGTCGTCAAGGCCAGCAACCCTGGGCAGCAAGGGCAGGGCCACGGCGAACGGGGCTCTGGGCAGCAGGGGGAGCGCAGGCAGGGGATAGCACCGGCCGGGGTGAGCTGGTCCGCGCCCAGCGGTCCGAGAGAACGTACGAGTATTTACCCCGGACTTCCCGTCATGGCGATCTTTCCTCCGGCGGGCTGAGCACCGGCCGCCGAGCACTTTGAGCACGAACCGATCCGCGCGCGAGCTTGGAGCCTCGGACGGCGCGCTGGGCAGCGTCGGCGCCGGTCGGCACCTCGGCACCTGCAGCATGCTAGTTGGCTAGATGGGCGGTCTTGCGGTCTGACCTCCAGGGGCGAGAAGTGACTGAGGTAGGTAGGTAGGTAGAAAGGTGAAGAACAGACTGAAAAGGCAAAAAAGAAAAATCGCTCGCGTTATACCCGGGAACACATCCCTTGCGACTGAGGTCTCCACCCAGCCACCGCTCTCATGTTCGCGCTCGCACACCACCCCGCGGCTGGATACACGAGCGGCCAGCAAGACCGGTACGCCGCCTGGGCGGTGCGGTTTCGCATGCCGCTGACAGAGGCGCACCGCGCAATGTTTGATGCGAATGCTGTCCTTGTCGACCAACTCAGCGCGGCGCACAGCCCATCCGCGGAGTTCTCCGTCGACGAGTCGCCCTTCGCCCACCTATCTCCTCAAGAGTTTGCTGCTGCACGCCTCAAGAAGATGGGCCCCGCCGCCACAGGTGCCGACCGTCCCGCTCTGACCGGCCTGCTGCAAGTGCCACCCGCGAGCTGGGACTGGCGGAGCCGTTCGCCCACGGTGGTGACGCCAGTGAAGGACCAGGGGGCCCTAGGGTCCTGCTGGGCCTTCTCCGCCGTCGGCAACGTCGAGGGGCAGGTTTCGATCGCGGGCGGAAAAGCGGCGGAGGAGCTCTCTGTGGAGCAGCTCCTCGAGTGCGACCAGACGAGCGGCGTGCGGTCGGTGGACGGGGAGCGGTACGGCGACTGCGGTGCCTTTGGCGGCTGGCCCTTCCTCGCCTACGAGTACTGGATTAAGGCGGGCGGCGTGCGCGCCGCGGCGCAGATGCCGTACTGCTCTGGCGTCCCGTTTGGAGAGCGGGGCTCGTGCGACGCGTGCATGCCCGAGGGCTACTCCAAGCGGCTGTGCGGCGACCATGGCGACCTCTGGTGCAACCGCTCCTCGACCCGCGGGCAAGGCCTGCTCGGGCTCTGCCACTCGCGCGCCGGCACCGCCGCCCGCCTCAAGGGATGGCGCCGCGTCGGCAGCAACGCGAGCGCGATCGCCGCCGAGCTGGTCGCGACGGGCCCGCTCTCGATCGCGCTCGACGCCACGCTCGCCTTCCAGTTCTACCGCCGCGGCGTGCTCGACCCGCCGCGCAGCCCGCTGCTGGGCGGCTGCGGCCGGCAGCCCGAGCTCAACCACGCTGTCCTCCTGGTCGGGTACGGGACGGACAAGGGCAAGGAGTACTGGACCGTCAAGAATAGCTGGGGCGCATCGTGGGGCGAGGAGGGCTACTTCCGGATCAAGCGCGGGGAGGACAAGTGCGGGGTCGAGTCGGAGGTGACCACCGCGAGCCTCGCCTGAATGCAGAATGGACCGTGCGGGTGTGGATGGGGCAGGGTGTGCTTTGCGCCAAATCTTTTTCCTGTGTCGAGACTGTCTGCTGAGGTGTGAGGAGGACTGCCCCCCATTGCGCACACCGGACACCGCCCGCAACACGCAACACGCCCCCCGTCCCCCCCCCCACCCACCCCACCGCACACCGCACAACACACAACAAGTGCTCAAGAAACAAAGAAAACACAACAGACAAACCAAAAACGAGGGATTGTGTCCACAATGCACAATGAACACCCTGCACAAAGATCGCACGGGCGGGGACCTGTTCCTTTTTACCCATCTCACAGTAGAGAGGTGTCCGTTTTTATTTATTTATTTATGGGCACACATGGTCCCAACTACTCGAGGACTGTTGTCCTCGAAAAGGAGGGTGCGCGGCGAACCAGTTTAGACCAGTTTAGACCACTGCTAAACACGAACCAGATTAGTCCTGTTTACGATAAACTGGGTCTAAACCTGGTGTGTCTTATGGGTTCCCCCCCACCCCCCAGCGCGCGGCAGCGCGCACCTCCCGCCAGCTCCCCTGCTCTGTGACGAGAGAGGCCGTGTGGGAGGACGAGAGGTTGGGAGCACGGACTGGTTCGCCGCCACCATCGTCGCCCATATTGGCCGACCAATGGCGAGCACGACCGGCTGCGGATGCACTTCGACGACGGCATGGACGAGATCATCAGACACGCTGCCCGACGACACCGTGCGCCTGACCGGCGAGGCTGTTGTTGCGCGGCAAGTGTGCCAGGTGTGCTGTCCGGCCCGAGGCAGAGGATGGCGGCTGCACGCTGCCGCTCCCGCAGCCAGCGCGGCCGCGGCGGCGGAGCTAGCGCCCGCGAGGGGCTAGGTAGGGGCGCCCTCCCTAAACCGGGTCTAAACCTGGTATATCTAATGGGGTCCCCCACCCACGACCCAGGCCGACCCCTGTTTAGACCCCGGTTTATCGTAAACAGGACTTTCTGGTCGTGTTCAGCCGTGGTCTAAACTGGTTCGCCGTGCAGCTCCTCCTCGATTTTGGGTGTTTCTCCGGCCGCGGCGCCCGGAGGCTGTGCGGTGCTCTCGCAGCTCGAGCCCCCTGCGTTATCCCTCAGCTCAAGTTCGTGCGTGTGATTGACCGCAATAGCCCATGCTTGGCCTCGGGTCGTACGACGACAGCGACGAGGACGAGGAGGCTGCTGTCGCGCCCGCGCCGCTGTCGATTCCGGCCATCGCGCAGCAGGTCGCCGAAAGCAGTGATGAGGAGGACGATGACAACGCGGAGAGTTCCGCGGCGGCGGCGGCGGCAGCGGGCCGGGAGAGTGATGAGGAGGGCGGCGGCGGGATGCTGCCGTCGATGGACGAGGCCCTCGGCGCGGCACCGCTGGACAATCCGTTTGAGGCCGCTGAGAGTGCGGCGCCAGCGTACGGCACCATCTTTGACGAGGAGGAGGAGGAGGAGGAGGAGGGAGGGGACGACCCCAAAAGCGCGGCGGCGGCGGCCGTGGCTGCGGCGGCGGCGGCGAGCGGCGCGGGGTCCTCTGCGGGAGGTGCTCCGGAGTGGTCGGCGCTGCACCCGGAGAGAAAGGCGGAGACGACACGGCAGAGGAATGCGCGCAAGGAGAAGCTGGGGCAGGCAACCTTCTCGCTCAAGTGGGACCGCGACACGGGCGCGGAGAAGGCGTCCGGCGGCATCGACTCGTCCGCCAACCTGCAGTCGCGCACGATGCCAAAGCAGAGCCACCGGCAAGCGTCGCGAGGCAACCCGGACGCGCAGAGCATCAAGGCGCGGGCCCGCTGCAGAGAGGGCGGCGGCGTCTCTGCGGCGCACGCGCCTCCCGCCCCGCGCAGGTGCGCGAACCCTCCAAGGGCGTGTCCAAGCGCGAACAGGAGAGCCTCAAGGACCGGACCAAGCTCAAGCGGCAAAAGGACCAGTCGGCCTCCTTCCTGGGCGGCCGGTGGAAGACGGAGCAGGAGATGCACATGCGCGACTTTTTCGACTCGTAGCCGCTCGTGCGCTGCCGTGTTCGCTGAAGTACTCCTACTCGCCTCGCGTGTCCGTGTGCCGTTCGGCGCCGCGACCCAGCCGCGACCCGCGTGCGCGCCCAGCGAGCACTGAGAGTGAGTTGTGTTAGTATGGCACCATGGCACGAACTTGACGGGAGGTGACGCGACCCAAAAGAAAAGGCGCAACTCGGTCTCGTTCCTCAAGCAAGAGGGGGGGGGGGGAGAGAGAGGTGGTCCCCTCACGCCCTCTGGGCCGGCGCGGGGCCCCCCGGAGGCACCGTGCGCCGCGCCGCAGTGCGGAAACGGGGCCCCGGCTCCACTAGTCTCCACTAGCACCAACTTCCCGATTAAGTACGGTTAAGTAGAGGGCAGATTTGGAAAGATCTCGAGGAGTACATACAGATAGACCCTCCAACCATCAGAAATCTCCGACCTGATCGGTCGTACTGACCGCCGACAGATCACTCCAGACAGCAGACAGGCCGACGTCTGCACGCGGCCGGCCGGGCGAGAGGCTTGACACGATCCGACCCTGCGACCCTGACGCTGCTGCTCTAGCTATCAGCCATGCACTGCTGACTGCTGCCACAATGTGCGACCTGTGCTGGCCCACTTGGCGGCCTTCCCGGTCAGTGGTGAGGCGCAGTTCAGAGCTGTCGATGGCGCGATGCCGCACTGGTCCCACATTGGTGACACGATACCACCACGTTTGCCGGTCCAAGAGAGAGGCACCGGCGCTGTCCTGAGAAGGTGCGTGGTCCCTCTTGACTGCCCATGCGCGCGAGGCTGTGTAGGCATAGCCTCGAGAGTGCCAGCAGCCAATCCGAGGTGACGCGCATTGCGCCAGAAGCGTGCACACGATGGAAGGACACCTTCCTACTGGCCGTACGATCAGGTCGTCACTGAATGCTTGATACTAAGGCCGCGAGCTATGCAGGTGATCAATTGTGCATCATGGCACGGTCAGCTGCGCCGACAGGCTGTCGCAAGGCGTGATAGCATGGCCGCAAGTACGCCGAATTCCCATGAAAACAAGTAAAAAACTCCAAAAAAGAAAAACAATCCAAAAAAATCGGCGCCTGCGGCGGGCCATGGGACCCCATCTCCCCCCCGCATGGACACCCTCTGGGGCCCCCGCGCCGGCCCAGAGCTCACGCCGCTCCTCAGGGTTCGTTATTCCGGGGCGGCTGAGCGAGCTCGCAGCCTGCTCGCACGGCTCGTCCTCGCGTGGGTCCACCGTCCACCGACAGCGACACAGGGTCGTGGCCCACGAGTCGTGCAGCTCTGCCTCGGCCTCCACACATTCATACAATTGAAGGCGTACATGTTACCGCAATTGAAGGCGAACAATCTACCAAGTGAGGGAGGGCGAGACGATCGAGGGGTCCCGTACCATGCGGAATCGACCCTTACGGCGCATAACCGTCACATTTGACGAGCGCAAAAAGGTGTCGGCGAGGGCCGTTTACGACATGGTTGTGTCACGTCGAACGGCATTTGACGTCGTGCTGCGAGAGGGCCCGGATAAATCGAGTATCGAGGCCCTTGTCTTGCAGAGTGAGGTGCGCCAGAGGTGTCCCTGTACACAGCGCCTGTCAATAATCGCGGTGGCAACGATCACGTACACGAGCTCAGCAGAGCATCAGCGAACCCGCACCGCACCACGGCATGCTCCCAACGCGAGCAGTGGCGGGCGGGCGGGCGCGAGCGATGCCATGATACACGCGCGCACCATCGCGGTGCGCGCGATTCCTGGAGAGTGAAACGTCTAACTTGCTGACGTCCTTCACAGTCCGTCTCCCAATTTATGCGGCCCAGCTCCGGCCGAATAAATATTCCGTCCTTTGTTCGCGTGCGCTCACGCGGTGGAGAATATTTATTCTAGTCGTGTCCGCTCCGAACGTGTGTATGCACAACAGTCATGGCGCTGTCCTCTCAGGAGACGCCATGAGTGGGTAGAGAGGAGCAACCGCACGTGAGTGCCCTGTTCGAGTGCGCGAGATCTCCTGAGATCTCCCAAAGATTTCCGCTTCGGAATTCTTTCTCGAACAGCCACCCACACCCTAAACGCGTGTTACCGAAGTGGCTCCCCCACCCCAAAACGAGGGTCTGGGCGCGGCGCCCACGACCCTCCCAAGACGCTGGCAGCATGCCTGCAACCCGAGCGCCACACTGGCGCTCCGCCACAAGGTCACACGCCCTCACGTCCCGGCCTAGACCTCTTCCTCTAGGTCTATGTCGGCGACATCCCCCTCCCCTCCCTCTTCCCGCCCGAAGAGGAAGGCGAACCTCGGAGGCTCCACAGTCTTAGGAGGCATGAAACCCCTCCAGTCCCGGAAGAGGAAGTCGCACGACCCCGCAGTCCGTCCGACCAGCCTCGTTGCTACGCTCGCACGCAACGCCTCCGCGCCTCGCTAGGGCTCACCGTGCCGCTCTAGCGCGCCCCTCAGCCGCGCAGGCACCCTCTCGAGTGCCCTCTGCTCGAGTGCCCTCGGGGCGCTGCATCGCCCGCGACATGCCTCCTCGTGGCGCGCGACACAAACCAGAGACAGCTGCTCCAGCCGATCGAGCGCAACGCTCTACTCCGCCGCGCTGAGCGACCACTCAGCGCCCCACACATTAACTGGCCGACTTTGCGAGGCGCCCTGCGCCTCCTCTACACACCCCTCACGCCTTCGCGTGGCGTGCCTTTGGCGAGAAGGCCGCCCCCCGCAGCCGCCGGCTCCGCCGCCTCGCCGCCTCTTACACGAGCATGCCTCTTCTTGGCATACTCGGAGGTTCATGGTGACCGCCCGCGCGAGCGCGCCCCACGCCCGGCTAGGGCTCACCGTGCCGCTCTAGCGCGCCCCTCGGCCGCGCAGACACCCTCTCAAGTGCCCTCGGGGCGCTTCGTTGCTCGCGACCTGCCGCCGTGTGGCGCGCGACGCAGACCAGAGGCAGCTGCTCGAGTCGCTCTAGCACGACACTCTACTTCGCTGTGTCGAGCGACCTCTCGAGGCGCTCTGCATGCGCTCGCCGCCTTCGCGAGGCGTCCTGCGCCTCCCCCAGGCGCACCGCACGCCCCCGCGTGGCGTGCCACTGGCGAGACGGCCGCCTGCAGCCGCGGCCCCCTCGCCGCCTCTTACACGAGCATGCCTCGTCTCGGCATGCTCAGAGTTCATAGCGGCCGCCCGCTCGAGCGCGCCCCGCGCCTTGCTAGGGCTCACCGTGCCGCGCTAGCGTGCCCCTCGGCCACGCAGACACCCTCTCCAGTGCCCTCGGGGCGCTTAATTGCTCGCGACTTGCCGCCGTGTGGCACGCGACGCAAACCAGAGGCAGCTGCTCGAGTCTATCGAGCGCAACGCTCTACTCCGCCGCGCTGAGCGGCCCCTCGGCGCGCCACACATGCGCTCGCCGCCTTCGCGAGGCGCTCCGCGCCTCCTCCATACGCACCGCACGCCCCCGCGTGGCGTGCCTTTGGCGAGAAGGCCGCCTGCAGCCGCAGCCGCCTCGCCGCCTCCTACACGAGCATGCCTCTTCTTGGCATACTCGGACATTCATGGTGACCGCCCGCTCGAGCGCGCCCCACGCCTTGCTAGGGCTCACCGTGCCGCTCTAGCGCGCCCCTCGGCCGCGCAGACACCCTCTCAAGTGCCCTCGGGGCGCTTCGTTGCTCGCGACTTGCCGCCGTGTGGCACGCGACGCAAACCAGAGGCAGCTGCTCGAGTCGCTCTAGCACGACACTCTACTTTCGCTGTGTCGAGCGGCCTCTCGAGGCGCCACACATGCGCTCGCCGCCTTCGCGAGGCGCCCTGCGCCTCCTCCATACGCACCGCACGCCCCGGCGTGGCGTGCCTTTGGCGAGACGGCCGCCCGCAGCCGCAGCCGCCACGCCGCCTCCTATACACGGGCACGCCTCTGTCTTCTTGGCATACCGATTCATAGCGGCCGCCCGCTCGAGCGCGCCCCAGTCTCGCTAGGGCTCATTGCTAGCGCCGGCTGACGTTGCGAGGCGCCTTGCGCCTCCTCCAGACGCACCGCACGCCCCCGCGTGGCGTGCCTTTGGCGAGACGGCCGCCTGCAGCCGCAGCCCCCTCGCCGCCTCTCACACTCGCATGCCTCGTCTCGGCATGCTCAGAGTTCGTAGCGGCCGCCCGCTCGAGCGCGCCCCGCGCCTTGCTAGGGCTCACCGTGCCGCTCTAGCGCGCCCCTCAGCCACGCACACACCCTCTCAAGCGCCCTCGGGGCGCTTTATTGCTCGCGACTTGCCGCCGTGTGGCGCGCGACGCAAACCAGAGGCAGCTGGCTGCTCGAGGCGATCGAGCACGACGCTCCACCTAAGCGAGCTCTCCCGCGCGCCATACATGCGCTCGCCGCCTTTGCGAGGCACCCTGCGCCTCTTCTAGACGCCCCGCACGCCTCCGCGTGGCGTGTCTTTGGCGAGAAGGCCGCCCGCAGCCGCAGCCGCCTCGCCGCCTCTTACACGAGCATGTCTCTTCTTGGCATACTCAGCGATTCGTAGCGGCGGCCCGCGCGAGCGCGCCCCGCGTCTCGCTGGGGCTCACCGTGCCGCTCTAGCGCGCCCCTCAGCCACGCAGACACCCTCTCAAGTGCCCTCGGGGCGCTTCGTTGCTCGCGACCTGCCGCCGTGTGGCGCGCGACGCAAACCAGAGGCAACTGCTCGAGTCTATCGAGCGCGACCCCCTACTCCGCCGCGCTGAGCGGCCCCTCGGCGCGCCACACATGCGCTCGCCGCCTTCGCGAGGGCCCTGTGCCTCCTCCATACGCACCGCACGCCCCGCGTGGCGTGCCATTGGCGAGACGGTCGCCTGCAGCCGCAGCCCCCTCGCCGCCTCTTACACGAGCATGCCTCGTCTCGGCATGCTCAGAGTTCATAGCGGCCGCCCGCTCGAGCGCGCCCCGCGCCTTGCTAGGGCTCACCGTGCCGCGCTAGCGTGCCCCTCAGCCACGCAGACACCCTCTCCAGTGCCCTCGGGGCGCTTAATTGCTCGCGACTTGCCGCCGTGTGGCACGCGACGCAAACCAGAGGCAGCTGCTCGAGTCTATCGAGCGCAACGCTCTACTCCGCCGCGCTGAGCGGCCCCTCGGCGCGTCTCACATGCGCTCGCCGCCTTCGCGAGGCGCTCCGCGTCTCCCCCATACGCACCGCACGCCCCGCGTGGCGTGCCATTGGCGAGACGGCCGCCTGCAGCCGCAGCCCCCTCGCCGCCTCTTACACGAGCATGCCTCTTCTTGGCATACTCGGACATTCATGGTGACCGCCCGCTCGAGCGCGCCCCGCGCCTTGCTAGGGCTCACCGTGCCGCGCTAGCGTGCCCCTCAGCCACGCGGATACCCTTTCCAGTGCCCTCAGGGCGCTTTATTGCTTGCGACTTGCCGCCGTATGCGGCACGCGACGCAAACCAGAGGCAGCTGCTCGAGTCTATCGAGCGCGACCCCCTACTCCGCCGTGCTGAGCGGCACCCCGGCGCGCCATACATGCGCTGGCCGCCTTCGCCAGGCGCCCTGCCACTCAGACATTCAAGCGGCCGCCCGCTCGAGAGCGCGCCCCGCACCTTGCTAGGGCTCAACGGGCCGCTCTACTGTAGCGCGCCCCTCGTACGAGCCTCGAGCTACTCGCTCGACTTTCCCCTGAGCAGTGAGTTCTGAGTAACACGAGAGCCTCACCTTCACGCTCCCTGCTCCACACAGCAGGTCACGAGAGCTCTCGCCCTCCACGCTCACTGCTCTACAGCACGGGTCACGAGAGCTCACCTCTCTCCAGAGCTGGACGCGAGAGCTCGCCCCCTACACTCACTGCTCTCCTCAGCAGATCACGAGAGCTCGCCCTCCCAGCTCACTGCCCCACAGCAGATCAGAGCTCGCCTCCCTATACACTCACTGCTACACAGCAGATCAAGAGAGCTCGCGCCCTCGGCTCACGCTGCTTCACGGCAGATCACGAGAGCTCTCACCCTCTCAGCACTCTTTGCTTCACGTTCACGAGAGCTCGCCTTCAGCACTCTCACTGCCTCACAGCAGACCTCAGCACTCACTGCTCAACAGCAGATCAGAGCTCACCTCTCCCCGCTCACTGCTCCCCTGCAGATTACGAGAGCTCGCCCTCCACTGTGTCACTGCTAAGCAGCAGATTACGAAAGCTCGTCCTCTACACTCACTGCTCCACAGCAGATCACAAAGGCTCGCCCTCCACGCTCACTGCTTCACCGCAGATCACGAGAACTCGCCTTCAGGACTCACTGCTCCGTAGCAGACCACCGAGGCTCGCCCTCTATGCTCACTGCATCACAACAGATCACGAGAGCTCACCCTCTCACTGCTCCATAGCAGACCAGGGCTCGCCCTCCATGCTCACTGCTTAGCAGCAGATTACGAAAGCTCACCCTCTCACTGCTCCATAGCAGACCACCAAGGCTCGCCCTCCACGCTCACTGCTCCTTAGCAGATCACGAGAGCTCACCCTCTCACTGCTCCATAGCAGACCACCGAGGCTCGCACTCCACGTTCACTGCTCCTTAGCAGGTCACGAGAGCTCACCCTCTCACTGCTCCATAGCAGACCACCAAGGCTCGCCCTCTACGCTCACTGCTCCAAGCAGATCACGAGGGCTCGCCACATCTCGGCCACATCTCGGCCACATCTCGGCCACATCTCGGCCGCCCCTCGGCAGCCCCTCGGCAGCCCCTCGGCAGCCCCTCGGCCACTCTGCGGCAACACCTCGGCCGCATCCTAGCCGCGTGTCTTAGACACCTTGGCCACAACCCGGCCCGATCCTGGCCGCGTGTCTCAGCCACACCTCGGCCACTCGGCCGCACCTCGGCCGCATCTCGGCCAAATCTCAGCCAAATCTCGGCCAAATCTCGGCCGCGCCCCAGCCACTGCCCAGACGCACCTCCGGCCTCACCGCGGCTCGGCGACATCTCGGCCGCACCTTGCCTCTCTGCGCTCACTGCTCCATCGCAGATCGCGAGAGCTCACCCCTCCACACTCACTGCTCCGTAGCAGATCGCGAGAGTTCCGTCTCTGCACTCACTGCCCAGTGGCAGCTCGTGAGAGCTCGCCTCCCCGCTCCTTCGCGGCTTGTGAGAGCTCAGCCCTCCACACTCACTGCTCCGTAGCAGCTCGCGAGAGTTCCATCTCTGCGCCCACTGCCCAGTGGCAGCTCGTGAGAGCTCGCCTCTCCGCACTCGCTGCTTACCAGCAGTCCATGAGAGCTCACCTCCGCACTCTCTGCTCACCAGCAAGTGCGACCACATACCGCCTCATCTGCGGAACTGTCGAAGAGGCCCGTCCTCCCTGCCCACATATGGGCGCATAATCCTCCGCTCGAGCCGATTATGTGTCTCCGTAACCAACTGGCCCGAGGCTTTGCAATCTCGCCTTGAGATGTCCCCCCGGCTCCAGCTGCCCGTCCTTCGCCAAATGAGCACAGCGAGCAACTCCCACATAAGCAGTTCCACCTCCAGCCGGGCTGCTGGGTCTCCAACCCAGTGTGGCCTCAGCCTTCGCCATTGCCTCTGAAGCTTGCGCCCTGGCTGCCGCAATGGGATGCTCCCTGCCGCTTTTCAGCCTCGCATCCGATTGATACCTCGCCCGCTTTTCAGCCTCGCATCCCATTGATACCTCGCTGCTGTCGCCACTGCCACTGTCGATTCCGACCATGCGGCTCCAATATTTCCATCGGTCCTGGGCCTCAGCCCCTGCCCCATCAGGCTCTAGCTGAGTCCGCTCCTGCCCTAGCCAGATGCAGTGCGCAGAAGGCGCAGCAGGGTCCATCAGTGATCATCACAGCGTTCAGCAAGCTCTGACTCGCTCGCCCACTGCCGCCACTGGCCGGCCCGCTCCCGTGCGCCGCCTTGCGCAGCTGCGTCGCCAGTTCCGACGTGGCAGCACCACCTCGTCGCCGCTGCCTGATCCTCAACCAGCAGCTTTGGCGTGCACCACAACCAGCACAACTCGTCGTCGAGCAGGCCTCACGCGTCCATGCATGACGCTCTGCTCGTGCCGACCATCCTCGCTCCCAGCTCGCACTCGGCATGCTCTCTGAGCAGCAGGAGCGCGAGCGATGCCATGATACACGCGCGCACCATCGCGGTGCGCGCGATTCCTGGAGAGTGAAACGTCTAACTTGCTGACGTCCTTCACAGTCCGTCTCCCAATTTATGCGGCCCAGCTCCGGCCGAATAAATATTCCGTCCTTTGTTCGCGTGCGCTCACGCGGTGGAGGATTTTTTGGGAAGGACAGGATTTTTGGCGGAAATTCTTTTTCTCGGTTTGCCTGTGAGGCTGTGATAGTGCGGACCAGGGTTCCGGCTCTCGATTCCGGCTCCTACCCAGATAGGGGGTCTGTTTACCACGGTTAGACCCTATGCAATAGGTAGGTAGGTCCGGTTTTGACCGCCCCAGAGGGCCCCGCAATAGGTAGGTAGGTGGCGGTGGTGTGGGGGGGTGGGGGGGTGGGGGTAAAAAAACCGCTTCGCTTGCGCGGGAGAGGCGCGTTTAGCCGCGAACGGGGATGCCAGACGAGTCGCCTGCGGCTGGGACGCCAGCCGAGACGGGTGCGGCGGCGGCGCCCGCGGTGGCGGCGCCCGGGACGGCACCGCGGTACAAGCCGGCGCGCGGCGGCGCTGGGAGCCTATTCACAGAGGGCTCACGGGTATTTTTTCGCTTCGCTGCGCGGCCTGGGAATAGGTAGGTAGGTAGGTGGGGCACGGAGCCTGGCGATTGGCGCCCGCAATAGGTAGGTAGGTGAGGTCCGATTGATCGACCCGACCAACCGGCCAGGCGCTTCGCAATCTGAGCTGTCGCTAAAGCCGTGCGCTTCAGGGCTTGTGCTCTGCGAAACTCGCGATGGGCGTGCAAGGGCTGCTTCCGTTCGTCTCGAGCGCGTCAACGGAGGTCAGCCTCGAGGACTACCGCGGGCAGACTCTCGCGTGCGACGCCTCTGTGTGGCTCCACCGCGGCGCGATTTCGTGTGCTCGCGAGCTGGCGGAGGGAGAGCCCGCAGTCGGTTTCCTGCGCTTCCCTTTGCGCATGATCGCCTTGCTGAAGAGGCACGGCGTCCGGCCGCTCATCGTCTTTGACGGAGGCGCGATGCCAATGAAGGCGCGGGTTGACGCGGCGAGAGCGGCGGATCGAGAGAGCGCGAAAGCGCGGGGCGAGTTCAACAAGACCGTCAAGATCACGGCGGCCATGACGCAGCAGCTCATCGAACGGCTTCGGCAGGACGGTGTGGAGTTCGTGGTCGCGCCGTTTGAGGCGGACTCTCAGCTGGCGTTCCTGGTGCAGCACGGCCACGCCGCTGCGGCCCTGACCGAAGACTCCGATCTACTCGCCTATCGCTGTCCAAGCGTGCTCTTCAAGTTGTCCGAGAGCGGCCACGCGAGGCGCATCACCTTCGCCGGGTTGCAGCACGCACAGGATTCGAAGGGCCAGCTGCTGTTTGATGGAGCGTGGGAGGGCGAGTGGGCAGCGTGGGAGGGCGGCCTGTTCGTGGCCATGTGCATCATGGCTGGTTGCGACTACCTGCCGAGCGTTCCTGGGGTGGGAGTGGCCACCGCGCACAAAGCTCTGCGCGCCGGCCGCACTGTGGAGCGCGCCCTCGCCAAGCTGCACTCCAAGCGCTCTGGACCTCCGGCGCCCGTGGCTGCTGAGGCTTACTTGCTGCGCGCTCTTGGTCTGTGAGCTGCACCCTCTGCCGTCGGCACTGCAGACCATTTGGCGCGCCCACATAGGCACCTGAGGCGCTGCGAGGCCGTGTTCCGCCACGCTCGTGTGTGGGTTTGAATGCCCGAGCGTCAACCTCAGCACGCTTTTGCACTGATGCAAGCCTCACGAATCCCCCTCCGGGCCACGCCGTAGGACCCAGCAAGCAGCTCGGTGATCCCTATGCATCCTCTCGGCCGCGACTGCGAGAGCAGCATCTTCGACTTCCTCGGCGCGCCACTGACTCAGGCGCTAGCGCAGCAAGTCTGCATTGACGCAACTCGCGACCCCAACTCGCTGCAGCGGTATGCGGGCAGCCTGCCAGGCGGCCCGTCCGACCCCGGCAAGCAAGCGATCCCTCCGCTGCCGCGTCGCCCCGACCATGCAGCTCAACCTCTGGCATCGCACTTGCCGCCAACGAGGCCGTCCCGCTCAGTGTATTGGGAGCCTCAGCCGTCGGCTGCACCACCATCCGAGACGTATCGCGCATCTCAACATGATGCTGCCGCTGGCGTGTTACCGAGAAGCTTCGCCCGTGGCCTGCCTATCTTGCCGATCACCCCCATCAGCGACGATTTCCTTCGTTCCTTCCGCCGCGGCCGTGCTTCGACTTCTAGCAGCAGCTGAGCCCGGACGCTTGAAGCATGTACAACATGTGCTGGACGGGATACAGGCTCAGATGCGGACTGAAAGGGCGCTCCCAAAACAAGAATGTGTGCGCGTGCTGCTGCTGGGCGGGAGTGGGCATTGGCGCGAGTGTGGCAGTGCGGGGACGGTGGACGATCCGCCACACCGGCCCCGCGGCGGCGATCGCAGTCGCGCTCGTACACGGCAGGGTCGCGGAGTTATTTTTGTGCGATTTGAATAAAATAACGCGTCGCACGCCCCGCATCGCGTCGCGTCGCTCAACCCAGCTCCTCCCGTTGAGCCGCCACACGCTGCGCCGCAACGCGAAGCGCGGCTCCCCGCTCAGGAGGGCTAGCTTGGGTCGCGCTGCTGGCCTCGTTCGGAGCGCGGTGCCGCCTGGCAATGGGGCCCCGGGGCCCCGTTCCTGGGTGACGGGCGGACACCTCGACCGCACGAGGGAGCGAGCGAAGACGAGGCTTCTCCTGCTGGAGGCGCGTGAGGGAACGCTGCTCGCCGGCCGCCAAGAGAGCAGAGACGGCGGCCTCGGCTCGCACCTCGAGCAGATGCCGGATCAACGCCACCCACGCACACATGGCGGCGCACGAGGCGGCGCGCACCACTAGCGGGTTGGGCGGTGCGCCTGCCGGCAAGGCGAGGGAGTGAGCCCCTGGAGCGGACCCGGTGCGGGTGGGCCTCGCAGCTCTCACCGGGCGGCGCCGGCGCCGGCCCAGGCATGCGCAGCTCGAACTCGGCGCACCTGGGCGGTCAGACGCGGCTCGTTGCTGCGTGTAGCCACCGCGGGGAGGGAAGGTTCGCGGTGTTTGGAGCGAGAAGCACGGGATGCGCGCGCCAATACGACGAGACTGAGACGCCGGTGACCGAATCGAGCAGCACGCTCGGCCGTGCAGTGCCCTGTCTGCCCGTTGCCGGCGAGGCGAACGGCGAGGCGCCGTTGGAGAGCGAGGCGCACGAGGAGGAGCGCGGGCCGCCCGCCTGGCGCGGGCCGCCCGCCTGGCGCGGGGCGTCGTCCTTCGTCATGCTGCTCCGCCGCGCTGACGTCCGGCTCGAGGACACGTCCCACGCCGGCCCGAGTGGCCCACGCAACTGCGGCGCCGACTGCATCGACGGCCTCGCGGGCCCGCCGCCGCCAAAACTGCTCCTCCTCGACTCTGCGGCGCTCGTCGCTATCGCGGCCGTCTTTGGCGGCGGCGGGCGCGGCGGGCGCAGCGGCGCGGCACCGCTGCGCGTGGTGAGCGGCTCCGATACGGGCAGCGCGGAGCCGGCACTCTCGGGCGGGTCGGGCGGGGATGGGAGAGTCGATGGCGGCGGCGGCGGCGGCGGCGACCTCAGCGATACGGAAGGGGAGCCAGAGCCAGGCGACACAGACAGAGAGACCTCTGGCGCTGCCGCGACGGCAGTCGAGGCAAAGATGCGGCGGCAGCGGTAGTGGAAAGTGTGCGCCGCGCGGGCAGCTCCGCGCCCCGCCTGCGCCGCAATGCGATCGCGCGCACGCCCGAGGGACGCGGCGGCGGCACGGCTCGCCTGCTCTCGGCGCGTGGGGGAGTGGGGGTGGTGTGTGTTGTGTGGGTCGGGGGGCTGGTCGGGTGGAGGTTGGTGGCAGGGCAACGTGCGCGGTGCTGACCTGGTCGAGCTTGGCGTGCGCCTGGCAGCATGATTCGTGATCAAAAGCAGAGGCGCGAGGGATGGGTGGCTAGTGCTTCGCTCTGCGTGCGCCTGCAACGCCGCCGCCTGCGGGGCAGGGTAGCGCCAGTGCAGCGCGCGGGCTGGCGGGTCGAGTACGAGAGTCCTGCGGAAGAGAGGGCCTGCGCGTTGAGGAGGGCGAGTTGGGACGGCCTCGGCGGGGAGGGAGGGGCGGCG